ACATTCAATGTTCTGAGGTTTCTAGCTTCACACTTTTCCTTTGTCTGCTGTAACTGTCTCTAAAAAGCCAGTGCCTACAGATAATGAACACAATGACTTTTAAGATTAAAAAGAGACTATGTGCTTCAACAGAACACAACCTTCAAGATTAAAAAGATGACATGTTGTAACAGGTATCAGAAGATCTCTTCCACATGACAATATCGTTTTGACTTCAGACAGCATTTTTGACAAAGTCTCATAGTCAAGGTCAATAACAAGAATCTAAGGTGTAGGAATTACAAAATGAATAGAAAGATGGTCTAGAAAGTTTAAAACATTTGCATGAAAAATATGTAAAGGGCTGAAAAGTCAGCTGCATCTTGCAAGAATGATTGAAATGATGAAAGGATGGGTAACAGAAAACAGATGCAGCAGAAATTTCAACAGTGTTGATCAAAAAAAGCTTAAAACTGACAATGTTTAATGCTGATGGACAGGTATGAAATCAGATTGGTAAGAAGAAGAGGATCTGAGTAACAACATACAGCTTCATGAAGAATAAAAAGTGAGAAGGGACAAAAAGTCAAAATACTGAAGACAAACAATCAAGCAAAATTAATTTTCTCTGGTACAAGCCCATGGAAATGAACTTTGTAAATGAAAAGACAGGATTGAGAAGGGTAGGAAACAGCCTAAACAAAGAAAAAAAATGCATCTTATTCTATTGGGATATTGCAGACTATGATCACTGAGAAGAAAACAATTTCTGAGTCTGCATCCAGATCATGACAATGTAAAAGAATTTGATTCTCAGCTGTTCCCTATCTGACACATACTAAGGCTCCTGTTGCTCTTCCCAGCAACACACCAAAGGATCAGCCCTGGAGATGTAATGTTATTGCTGCATTGCATTTATTCCCATATCTGCACGAAATCTGTCACAGTAATTATAAATCTCAAATTTTGGTAGATTTATAACAGCAAGGGTTTGTTGTAAATAGAAATTTTTGATGGACAGGCTTGCCATCTTTCTTTCCTCAATTCAATGTCGGAGAAAGCACCAGAGTTTTTTCCTGAAGGCTGATTGTGGAAAAAAACTGAATTTTTTATTGTTTCTTAATATTCTTGCAAAGAATCACCCCTTCTCTGAGCACAAAGAGGTAACTCCCATGGTCAGATTCTATTAGAAGATATTGCAGTGATTTTAGAAGTTCACAATTTGCTGTTTCCAGGTACATTTCTGCCAGTAGATTCATTGTTTGAATATTCATAGACAAGAAAAAAAATGAAAGTGCACACATGCAAAAAGCATAATTTTTTGAAGTGCAGCCACAGTCTCAGAAGCTGGAACACATACATGAGCAATGCTCGGCAAGAAATGCTAACATGCTGCTGAGAGGACATATATTAACAGTATGGAACTCTTACCATGTGTCATCCACATGGTATGTGGATGGTGATATCAGCTCTCACAACCTGCTGAGAACTCAGCTTGCCTGAACTGCGTAAAAGCTAACAACTAAAGAAGTCTGTTTTACATCACATAATGCACAGTTTTCCATGTAATTACGCTGTAAGACTCTGAATTTGATCATTAGACTAATTCAGAGTCAAATAAATCATCATTTCATCAGCCTAAAGCTCATTGCCAGGATTCAGTTCCGCCAAATCATCAAAATGCAGGAATCACTACTCCTTTCTGGCCTGACAGGTTAAGCTTATTATAATGAAGTTCAAAATAACTAGCCTGTCTTTAATTTTGAGCATGAACATAGACAACTGGAGCTTAATTATTGACCTGCTTACTCAGCAGCTGAGCCAAGTGCTCTAAAGGCTACTCTCAGTACAGAGCTCAGGTAATCTGCTCAGGTAATCCCCACTCCGAAATTCAGTATCCTGTGTTTAAAATTAGGCTGGGGCTCAGTTCACCAAATTAGTACAGAGAGCAGCTGCAGTCAAGAAGTTTGCCTTAATGACTCCACCAAAAAAAAAAACAAAAAAACAAACCCACATGATTTAAAGAAGGCAGACTTCATTTTATCTGTTCTTAAAAGAATCTACACCCTGCAGCATAAATTCTGGATTGGAACATAGAGGTTACATGCTGCAATTGACCCAGGCATTCTCTTTCAGGTGTGAAACTGAAGCCTTTTTACTGCTTAAGGCTAATTAATTGGAGCTAGAATTAATTTTCCTAAGCTTTTCATTGCTGTTGCTCTCATCATAACCTTTCAATTTCTGAACAAAAAAAAAAAAAAAATCAGGAAAAAAATTGCTGCTGTTTGGCAATGTGGAGGATTACTCATTTCTGTAGCTAGAAAAAGGGTAGAAAACTGTCATCCAATGAAAGAACCATGCTCTAGCCATGATAGCAGAAATAATACTGTAAAATAAGCCATTCTTAACTTCAGTTGAGTTTTTCTAGGAGTTGGGATAGGCAGATTCATGTTAGTTCTGAAAGTTATTTACCAGCAGCTAGCAAAAGTTTATCCCAACACCAAAACTCTGGTATTTTACTTGTTAATCTCCCAAGTTACTCTCTGGAACAGACAACCAGATGTGAAATATCTGTATCATTTAAAATCCCAGGACAAAAGGACAAAGTGTAAGTAACATTTCCCCATGCATACACAGAGTTCCATCACAGTGAAAGTATTCATTTCTTCACATAAATAAGCTTCAGGGAAGACATGCAGAGTGCTCCAATTAACAGCCCTTTAAGGAAACTGATGGTGAAATTAGTTTACCCACAGACTATCTTGCAGGCTCACACCAAACAAAACATATGGAAAAAATACTGAGCTGCTCTGAATTTACTCTCCAGCAAAAACAAAAGTCAAGCCTTTTTTGCATATTGGCTTATTTCGTACTAGTTACCCTCCCGAGGGCTCAGTTTCTTTTCAGTTTAATAGCCATAATGTACCACAAATGCTGAGGGTAAAGAAATCCTTGCAGTAACCTAGCAATAGAACATGTTCATAGCAAAAGTGAGACTTAGAGACTTGTTTAATAAGTAAATTGTGATAGCTCTATCAGCCCTCAAAAACATCAGATATTCCTGGCAGTGCAGTTAGAACTCCCTTGGAGATCACAGCTGTCCCCAGTATTGCCTGCATGCCTGCTAACACTGGCTTCCAGAATATACTTTTTCCTCCCAGACTTTGTGTAAACAGCTCTTGGGCCAACTTGCACAACTAAGCAAAAATTCCTCTTTTTACTCTGTGGACACTCGGAGAAAGTGTATTGCAGTACAGAACAAAGACAAAACATTTCAACAGCCTGAATTAAGGATTGCTGCTAACATAAAGAGGGAAGGTTTTCTTATATCAGGTTGAGAAGACCGGCTTTACAACTAGGCAAAAAAATTAAGGACAAACTAGTACCTAAATCTGCTCTGATGAAATACATGCTCAAAAGAAAGAGCAACAAATGCATTAAAAAAAGATTCAGAGGAGAAAAAAACGTTCCTTGTGTGCTTCAGCCTCTCAGCTAGTTTCTGAGGTCAGTTCAATGCCCAGTAGAATGAGTGGGCTGGATAGTTTAGCTTCTCTGCTTTAAGAATCACTCCTTTTTCATTTCATCTGCCTGCTCTTCCTTACAACTTGGCATTGAGAAGCCAGGACCTTCAGAGATTCAGAGACTGTTTCTTTCTCCCTGCTTTGTGTTATTTTTCTACTGTGTGCCTTTGTTGCTACAGAATTCAAGCTGCCTTTGCAGGCTTCTCACCACTCCAGAACGCAGTGGTACAGCTGTAGGAATAGCATCTTTTGGGAAGTAAGCACTGATACGTCTGGAGTGATCATGCTTGTTAGGTTTTTCACTTATAGTCAGGCAGGCTGTAAGTGTAAACTTAAGCATAAACTTAACAAAATATTGACATGAAGATGAGGTACAGGCCCTACCTTACTTCCTCAGTAAATTTTGGGGAATCACATCACAGCAGATTTTTTATGTTCTGATAACCCTTTCCATGGAAGTAGTAAGAAAACTCACATTACGTATCTTGCTGGGCATTTCATGCTTAATTTTTAAAAATGGACAATTCCAAGGAGAATATCTGCAGTGCCCTGAGGTCATGACAGCAATTCCCCCAGTGCCACCAACTGCAGACTGAAATACGCACAGATGCGCTGAAACATAGGAATTACAAAGAAAAAGCTGGTGCCTACCTGGCTACTGGACATCAACACTGTCTGCCACTTTTCCTCATTTGAGCAGCTCTTTCTCCTTCTTTCCATAATTAGCAAATACACATCACTGACAGAACAATGTCAGATTCCTTTGTTTGAGAAATATGCACATACGGACCACACACATCTATGCCCACCTAAGTATTCAAGCTCAAAAACTCAGGTGAAAGATATGTGTATATATATATATATATATATATATATATACACACATATATATAATGAAGTCCTAACTATGTATGTATTTCTCAAAACTGTTTATTGTAAGAAGACCAGCCTTATAAGAATTTTACGCACGTTTTGAAAATTTGAAGTGCTTATTTTTCTCATAATTATGGACTTGAAACTGCAATCACAGTTCCATTGCCATCAAAAACCTCTGTCTGCAAAGCAGGTCATATGTCCTGTTTGTACAATTAGCAAATGCACAGTAAGAAGAGTGGCACAATTAGGAGGGTATTTTACAGGTTTATAGTTGGAAAGATTCATAGAACGGCCTGGGTGTAAAGGACCACAGTGATCATCTAGTTTCAATGTCTTGCTATGTGCAGGGCCAACCACCACCAGACCTGGCTGCCCAGAGCCACATCCAGCCTGGCCTTGAAAAAAACAACACAACACCTGCTGTCACTGCAGTAGAAATTCAAGCTTTTTCCTTTTAAAAGTGTAAATAAAATAAAATAAAATAAAATAAATAAACCAAAATACTCCCAAATTGAAAGAAAGGAAAGCCAGGAGCAAACGGACAATTTTGTTCCATTAAATCTGTACTGCAAAAGCCCTCAGATTATCATGATGGAATGAGACAATCAGAAACAAAATGCTCACCCATGTCCTAGGCTCACAGCAAAAAACTCCAAAATGAGAGAGCTCTAGAAAGAAATCCTTCCCTAGTGGCAGTCAGCCCTTAAATGGGGTCTAGGAGAGGTGCAGCCAGGCTCCATCCCTTCTGGTCACACAGCTCAATCACCTTCACCTGTGCTCCATGGCTGACTCAGCGCTTGCCTCAGGTGATCAATCAGTGCTTCAGTCCCTGACTCAACTGCTCCCATACACCTGTCCCACCTTGTGTTCTGACACAAGCAATCTGGAGTACAATCCAGCATCCACTTTTGACTAAAGAAATGCTATGATTTCAGAAGCAGATATTTTTGGGCAACTTCAAAATGTGTTCCTATTTGTATGTGAGACACACGAACACAGTGTCCTCAAGGTTAGCCAAGAAAATTACACCAAAATTACAAGAAAAAAAATTACAAGAAAATTACTAAAACTGATTGAAGGAGTGAAAGGATGTAAGGCCACACTAGTAATAAGTCACTGTTTAACAATGCTGTGTTCATTATCATGGACTGCAGTTGCTTCAACTTAAGTCATGTTTTAGATGCATTTCCTACAAGACATGCCATTGCAACCAAAGCAGCCAGAGGCCTGAAATCATCACAGAAGTTTCTCTTAGCTCCAAATCCAAGTTGAGGATGATAGGGTTTTTCTACTGTTACTCAGGCAAAAATAGAATTACTCTGTGGGTGAACCAAGGAACTTGGAAAGGGTAGTAGGATCTCTGAGGAAATATGAAAAGAAAATCCAAACAAGTCAGTCAGAGTTCCTCCAATACCTCCTGCAGCTACCCAGTTGTGTGTACTGAAACTTAAAGAGCTCTCCACTATGCTGCTTCTGCTGTCATGCTGTATGCGGGGCATTGCAGCTAAATACTTGTACATATTTCTCTTTTCTGATGATACTAGCTGGCTACCAATTGGTGTTACACTGATTATTAATGCAGTGCAGAAGCAAAATACACATAAAATACATTTACTGTGATTCCTGCAATTCATATTTGGCTTGTAGTTTGATTTCAGTGAAACACATTTTCCAGTTATGCAGAATTCCATCAAACAATGCAATTAATATCTGTCACATGGCGCAGGAAACATGACCTGATGATATCATCAGATAACCTCTCACTGACATCAATAAGATCATAATTTCCTCTTCCAGAAGTGATGTAACATGTTAAAAAGCGCAGACACTTTCAGTAACATTAACAAGCAAGGAAGTTTCTTCACATCCACATGCTACTCATCTCCACCATCCTCAAGGCCACCACGGTGGAAACTTTGCGTATTTGCTTTCATTGTATCCTGTGCACATACAAATGAATAAGCCCAAACCCATTTGTTGCCTAGCCTAGAAAAAGATGTGATTCTGTTTGCAAGGTTGTTAAATGCAACGTCACATCACAATGTGTGAGACTTTTTCTACATCAAGTGCTGACCTCTTGTAGTTTATTAGGGATAAATATATATATATAAATGCAAATTTTAATAATCTACTGCAAAACTCATGAATGGACCTTTGTAAGGGGATATCTCCAAATTTTTATACTGAGTTGTTAAAACTGGCACTTATACATAACTATATCCTTGGGAAAAGATAGTGCAAATAATAAGGGAAAATTGGCAAGCCAGTGAGTGCATTGCCCTTGTCTGTCCTTCTCTGGGAGAATTAGGCTAAGACACTCTGATACATAAAGGAAGTTATAGGAGCATTTAATGGTTCAGTTGAAGTTCTATGCTTCATAGATATGCATTGGAAGACCACATCAAATCACTGGCACAGTGTAAATACTGATATAGACTATCATTGAAACAAGCTATACAGCACTGTGCCATTAGTGCACTAGCCAAAGTGCAGCTGCTTTCTCAAGGAGTCACTGAAATAAATGCATACATTTATGACATTCCTAGTCAACCAACCAAGGAGAGCTCTGAAGAAACATCATTTTATTTTTCAGTTATAATTTTGCTGACATTTTGAAAATTGTATGTTAAAAATAAATAAGACACAACAGCAATTGAACATAGTACTTCAAAGACACAAAATTGTAAGACTCATTAACTTTTGAAGGAAGATCCTATTAAACATATTAACTGTACAATTGATGTTATTGAAATTGGTAGAAACTGCAGTACAAGAAGGGATATGCACGGCAGACATGAATTTAGGGCTCTACATAGAACTTAGAAAGAAACAAGACAGTTCCCTGAGAAAGAGCAAGAATTTTTTTGTCATTGCCAGCAAGTCATGAGTGACATAAAACAGCAAGATTTTTATAGTAGAATTAGATATGTTTTAATCAGCAGATGTGTAACTCAAAGCTGTTCTCAGCCAATAAAACTCCACTCTTAAAAAGATTACATTTTTCTAAAACATTTTGAAAAACTAAATCAAGGGTTGTTTGTATCATTCACAGTGTATCTGTAACATAATTTTTCCCTGTAGAAATACTCTAAATGTATTTCCAATGAGAAGTATATCTGACTTAGAATATTAAGCCTATGTTTTCAAAATGTGCTAGCATTACTAGCAGCTTCCAATATTTCAAGGCAACATCAGTTTCAGAGATGTAGATACATATACTTCTGTAAAACTGTTTCCTTCAAGATATCCTACATGGACATCTCAAAAATAGCACATTTTAAAAGTTTAGATATAAATTTAGGAAGTTTGTGAGATGTCCAGACACAAGAACACTTAACAATAAGGGTAGCCACTGAGCAAGCTTTTCCAACACACATTTCTAACAAGCAAGAAGGCTGAAGTGGCACCATCAACTCTAAGAATCAGGAGATCGTTTCACCTTCAAAAACTTCTAAATCATGGCTTCTGCTCACAGTTGCAGGAAGAAGAATACCTAAGTTATGAGGCTGGAGTTGGCAATAACATGCAGTTATTATTCTCATTGACTTTTAAAAAGTCATGGAGGTCAGGAGAAGTCCCTGTTAATTGGAAAAAAAAGGCAATGTTGCACCCATTTTTATGAAGGGTAGAAAGGATGACCCAGTGAAATACCAACCTGTCAGTCTCATCTATGTGCCAGAAAGATTATGGTGCAGATTCTCCTGGAAGCAATGCTAAGGCACATATAAGACAGAGAAGTGAAACCAGAACAACCAGTCTAGCTTCACGAAGGACAAGTCCTGCTTGACCAACCTATTGGACTTCTATGATGGCTTAATGGTATCAGTAGAGAAGGGAAGAACCACTGATGTCATCTATGTGGACTTCAGTAAGGCCTTTGGCAGTCTCCTACAATATCCTTGTATTTAAATTGGAAAGATATGAATTTGTTGGCTGAACTGTTTGATGAACAAAGAACTGGCTGCAGGATCGAACTCAGAGAGTGGTCAATGGCCCCGTGTCTGGATGGGAGATCAGTGATGACTGTGGTCTCCCAGGTGTCAGTGCTGCGACCGATACTCTTTTATATCTTCATCAATGACATGCACAGTGGGATCGAGTGCACCCTCTGCTAATCTGTGGATGACATCAAGCTGTGGGGTGCAATCAACATGCCCATCCAGAGGGATCCAGACAGGCTTGAGCAGTGGGCCCAGGAAAACCACATGAAGTTCAACAAAGTCAAATGCAAGGTCTTGCACGTGGGTCATAGCAACCCCTGCTATCAGTAGAAGCTGGGGGATGTAAGAATTCAGTGCAGCCCTGCTGAAAAGGACTTGAGGGTTCTGGTGGACAGCAAGCAAGACATGATCCAGCAATGTGCCTTCAGCTGAAAAAGCCAACCATATCTTGAGCTGCATCAAAAGAAGTGTGGCCAGCAGGGCAAGGGGAGGTGATCCTACGCCTCTACTCTGCTCTCGTGAGGCCTCATCTGTAGCACTGCATCCGGATGTAGAGTCTCCAGTATAGAAGAAACAAAGACCTGTTGGAGGTCAGAAGGGGACTGACCCTTTACCAGGGTCTGTTGCAATAGGAAAAGTGAAAACTGTTTCAAACTACAAGAGGGGAAATTTGGGTTGGATATGAGAAAACAGTGTTTTGTGATAATGGTAGTGAAACCATGGGACAGGTTGCCCCAGAAAGTTGATGGATGACCTGTCCTTGGAGACATTCAAGGTCAGGCTGGACGGGGCTCTGAGTAACTTGATCTAGCTGTAGGTGTCCCTGTTCATTGCAGAGGGTTTGTATTAATGCCCTTTAAAGGTCCCTTCAAACTTTAATGATTCTATGTCTTGCTAAGGTCTCTGTTCCCATAGTGGCTTAATGATCACATCCTGTCAGAAAATTCCTTCCATAAGAAGTAAGTAACAACATTTACCTGAAAGACAGAACTGTATTTTCCTTTACTGAATCATATTGTGTTTAAATTAAATATATTGCAAAAGAATCAGAGCATTTATGCAAAATGGCATTCTTCTGGAAATACTTATAGGTAGTTACTCACAATTTAAACAAGATATTTCAGTTCTTTCTTCATTATTATCTTGGTCTCCAAGTTTTCCTTCTGAAAGCACAGTTAGTCCTTCAGCAGAACGGAGATGAACTCTAATATATGAGTAGGCAGAAAAAAATGCAGCTTTCTAAACATTATTTTAGGCTTCACATTTATGTGAAATAATAGCCTTCTGCTTTTGGAATGTTCACTTCAGACAGCAATTTTTTTATAACTGATAGATTTTTCTCTAGAAATAGCCTATGTAATTCAATGATTTTTTTCTCCCAACTTCTGAATACTTTTTATTAATTGCAATATTTTTGAGTATGAGAACATCCATGAAATCCACATCTTTTCAACCTCTCCATCACTTTGTGATTCAGTAGCTTAAGCTGAAAGGATCTGCAGTACCAAACTAACAGCCTGTTATTTTTAAACTGATGGTAAGAATTCTCTCATCCTGATTCAATAGGCTCAGTAGGCTGCAAGTACACAATTTATTATTTCAGATCTCTAAAAACTTCAAAGCCGAAAGTCTGCTTAGAGCTTATTTCACTTTAGATGTAATATTTGACTTTCTTTGAATAGGACTTAAGATATTTAAGTGAGGATTGCTAAGGTGAAAATCTGACTTCAGCACTCATTTGCAGTTTGAAGTTTAAGGTAAAAAAGGACTCACTGTATTCCATAACTGCAATATTTTTT